GTCTTGATCATCGATTGTCAGATGAGTGAAGGTTGGTGTTGCTTGGTCTACAGTTTTCTGCAGGAATTTCCTTAGGCATGGGAGGACACAACAAATGAGAAGAGCGAGAATAAAAAGAAAAAATTAGTAAGGCAATACCAATCTGGACTAAAGCTCTCTGCCAACCAGTCATCCAACCAAACCATTTTTCCCAGGGATCAGTAACTCCAGAGTTTCTCTTTAACTCTTCTGAGAGTCTATTTAATTTAGCTATGGCCAGAGTGACTATACCATTAGGACCTGTGTTTTCTGGAATGTAAGTGCAACAAGTCATAGTGTCGGGAAGTATTTTACAGACCCCCCTTTTTCGGCTAAGATCATGTCTAAGGCTAGTCTGTTCTGGAAGGTCATTTGGGATGTGGCCTGTAATTGCTCGGCCAAGCCCTGGAGGGCATCCCTGGTGTAGTTCACGAAGCGCTGTTGGTTGTAATAGATATAATTAATCCAATTAAGGTTTTTGATGGCAGTGACTATGGTAAAAAGTGATTCAAAACCTACAGCTACTTCATCTCTAGCTTTAAATTCATTAGGTACCCCCCTAGGCACCCCAATGGCATCTATGTAAATGTGGGGGTCAAAACTGCCTTTTACTGGGGTTTCGCACCTTACTCTGGCTGATGTATGTGGAGGGTCGTATGTGTCATGATGATTATCAGAAATAATATGAATGGGCATGATAACTTTGGCCAGGGTACACTCACCCCACCACTCAGTTTCCAGCCTAGATCTTAACTGTAGATCCCCACATAACCAGTAAATATCCCCCAATGACCTGGTATGGTGTTGCAACAGGCGTATAGGAACAGTTCTGTAAGTGGCGCAATAACCTTTAGAAAAGTTACCCATGAATTGACCAATCCCGTCATACATGGCATAACAAGTGTAATTACCTCTATAGACTGTGACTCCATCTGGTGGCTTAACATTTTCAACTAAGAGAGGGTATTCTGCCGTCCATGCCATGCAGAGGGACCTATTAAAGTCATATTGGTAGGCAAAAAGGCTTAAGAAGCAATCTTCTATCTCTAAAGGGAGAGTTAGGGGGACGGTGCTAAGGTGGGGTCGGGCACCGCCACATACATAACATGCTGTTTTATTATGTTTGTTGGCATTATACCTCATCCATTCTAACCACAAATTAATGTCATTGAATCCAGTTTCAGCGGCCATGGTATCTTCAAAGTGGGGTTAGCGATAGCCATCATATCTTTAAAGGACTGGATATGTGGTTTTAGCGGATTTGGGACCATATGATCAGCCCCTTGCCACTCTGGAGAGTGGGACATATCTCTGAGGTAGAAATGACCTAATTTGTTGTAGGAACCTTTCTTCCAATACATTCCCATTACATATCGGTCTGCATCCTCAGGGCCAGGATGTTCAATATTTAACATTAATTTCATAGGGGTACTTCCTCCAGGCTTTCTTAAAGTCATTCTTTGAAGGAGGGATCTACCCTGATTGTCTATCTTAGATAAAGCACTTTTGGGTTTATAACCCCAGGCAGGCCCAGTATTCCATCCCGCAGCCCCGCAGTAGTTACAGTCATAACCCCATTGTTCATCTACTACACAAACGTAAGGGTCTTTTGCTTGTGGTATATCTTTATAAATGGCTTGAATCTGTGACTTAGGGAATGGGCACTCTACAATATCACAGTAATCAAAAGTGAATGTAGCCACATGGGTACATGATGAATTATACCAGAAGGTGTACCCACTAGCATCTTTGGTGATGGCCACCTGCTGGGCTTTAAGGAGGCCAACTAAGGAGATAATGTACCAGAGGCACATGGTTGCATAGGGTTAGCTTCCTCTGGGGCAGGTGTCTTCTTGCAATGGGAAGCGTGGATCCAGTTAGGCCTTCCGGCCAATTTGACAGAGGTAGGGGAGATCAGGAGAACTTGGAACAGTCCGTCAAATCTTGGTTCCAGGGTGTGTTTTCGCACAAATTTCTTGACCAGAACCCAGTCACCGGGGAGCAGACTGTGGTTGCCTGTGTCAGAATCAGGATCTGGAGTTGAAGAGAAAACTTGGGCATGGATTTTGTTCAAAGCATTTGCGAGTTCAGTTACATAATCTACTAAAACATCAGTTTGAAGTTGTAGTTGTTGGGGAAAATAGCAACCTAGCCTAGGTGCAGTCCCAAATAGAATCTCGTATGGGGACAATGAGGTAGTATTTTTGTACAAGAGCATTCATTAGATCTTTTGATAAATGTGCAGGTCTGTGTGCCCATTGTACGACTGCTGGGTACAAATTCTTAGGGCATAAATTGAGGTTGTTGGAGTACACTCCATCCTTCAGAACTGCCCCTTTCTGTTTCCACTTCTGTATTTCTTCAGGGGCAACTGTAGCCTGTTGTTCCCGCAGGATTTTCAGGTCAGTTGGAAGAGTCTGCAGAGTAAATATGGGAGTTTCTTCATTTCCGGACACTCTTCTTCCCACTTCCTGTGGTTTTCTTGCAGCTTGTTTTGCAGCCTGATCAGCTAGATGGTTGCCCTTTGCTTCATCTGAGTCCAACTTCCCATGTGCCTTTACCTTCAGAATGGCCACTTCTTCTGGGAGTAGGAGGGCGTCCATCAGCTCCTTGATTGCGGAACCGTGCTTGATTGGTGTACCGGCGGTAGTAAGAAATCCTCTTGTTTTCCAAATTAATCCGAAGTCGTGAGCCACGCCCAGTGCATATCTTGAATCCGTGTAGATATTGGCGCGCTTTCCTTCAGAGATCTTGCATGCTGAGGTCAGGGCTTGCAATTCAGCTTCTTGTGCAGACATAGTTGATGGTAAAGATGATGATTTGACAATTTCATCTGTTGTGGTTACGGCATATCCTGTATGGTATCTTCCTTCTTCATCAGCATATCTTGAGCCGTCCACAAACAGGGTGAGATCGGGATCTACCAATGGGTCTTCATGCACAGTTGGTAGATGTGTTGTTTCCATTTTCATCTGTTCAAAACAGTCATGAGGTGTATCTGGGTCGTAGTCATTCACTATGGTTAAATCTTGGAACTCATTTTCCAGGAAATGATGTGGCCATGCTTTTAGGTGGTCAGTTGTTGGATATTTGACAACACCATTTTCCTGTAGCTGTGATTCGTCCATAGTGGCCCATGCTTTTGCCATAGGCCCAAGATCATTCCATGATATTGTTTTCAACTTGGTCACAGGGACATGTGGAATGGCAGTGTCCCAATGACGGTACAAATGCTTGAGTTCCGGAGGTAGATGAATCAAGACCATACTGTTGCCTTCAGAATCACAGTAGAAGTCTTGTGCAGTGAGTTTTACTTCGACCAGATGATAGAGTTCATCTTCATAGCAGGGTTCAGGAGTGATGTTTGATTTGTACCACATGGTACAGAAGGCATATCCTGCTCCGTCATGAAGGAGTGCTTGTCCATCATGAAAGGATAGGTTGGGATGCATTTCCTTCTTGATGGTGCCAGTGAGAAGAAAAACATAAGTTTCGTCCATGATGAATCCGTAGTATACAGTTCGTCCATGATGAATCCGTAGTATACACCCCCCTCAGGGAGTGGCAGAAGAGTGGACGGATTGAGAACTTGACATCTTTGGAGGGTAATGTTGTCAGGCAACAAAAGATGACATTGAAGGCGAAGATGCCTGGCAGGAGTAACATGCTTAAGTTGGACCTGGTTGACTATGGCAGAAATGTCATGAGGGGCCAAGACAACCAGGGGGTGGCCAAGGACAAGATCTCCAGTTCTTTCAATGAGCTCTCTGGCAGCAAAGACGGCCCGAAGGCAAGAGGGACGTCCTCTGGCCACAATATCCAGTTGGCAGGAGAAAAATCCAATAGGCCTTTGGCGGCCTCCAGGACCATGGGCCTGAGTGAGTACTCCTGTTGCATGGCCTTGTCTTTCAGAAACAAACAATTTGAAGGGTTTGGTATAGTCTGGTAGGCCAAGAGCAGGAGCAGAAGCAATAGCACGTTTGAGAGAACAGAAGTTGTCAAGGGCTTCTGTGGACAAGCAAAATGGGTCTGACTTGAGAGCATCATAAAGAGGTTGCATAAGGAGTGAGGCTTCTGGGATCCATGCTCGGCAATAGGAAATGAGGCCTAGGAAGGCGTGTAGTGACTTCGAGGTTCTTGGAGGTGGAATGTCCAGTACCGCTCAAACTCGGTCACGGGTAAGATGTCTGGTTCCCTGAGACAGACAATGGCCAAGGAAAATAACAGTAGGTTGGCAGAATTGCAGCTTGAGACGTGAAGCTTTACATCCTTGTTCTGCTAGGTAGCAAAGAAGATTAAGTGAGCATTGTTCTGTTGTGGGTATATCATCTCCACAAAGCAGCAAATCATCCACATATTGAAACAGGACGACCTCAGGGTGGTCAGATTGCCATGGATCAAGGATAGAGCACATGGCCTTCGCAAATTGACTTGGTGAATTTTGTGCCCCTTGGGGCATGACAGTCCATGTGTACTGTTGTTTGTCATGTGTGAAAGCAAACAGATATTGGCAAGTTGGATCCAGGGGAACACTGAAGAAGGCATTGGCTAGATCAATTACAGTGAAGTACTTGGCAGAGGGTGGAACGCCGGAAAGGAGAGTGTGTGGGTTGGGCACTATTGGAGTGTCCAAAACTGTGGCTTCATTTACCGCTCTGAGGTCTTGGACCAATCTGTACTTTTCTGGTTCGCCTTTTTGGAGTCTTTTTCTTTACTGGAAATAATGGAGTATTGCATGGTGATTCACATTTGACAAGAGCACCCTTCTCCAGGAGTGCTTGAATTTGAATTGTAATGGCTGCAGCTTGAGCTGGTTTCAAAGGATACTGTGATTTTCGTGGCAATTTTACGCCTGGGATGAGCTTTACCACCACAGGCGGGACCTTTAGATGGCCTATGTCCTCTGGGCCTGTGGACCACAGCTTCTTGGGAACATCAGTCTTTAGTGAATCAGGGAAATTAGTCCTTAGGTCTTTTGCATCCCCATGAGGCTCTTCTAGATGTAGCATCAGGGGTAAGGAGCACAAAGCTGAGGTGTCTGAGACAGATAGAGGGGTGGATAGTTCCACTTGTCCATCTGGAGTAAAGGTGATGGATGCCTGCAGGCGTGAAAGAACATCAGCTCCTAACAGGTTAATGGGGCATGTGGAAGATACCACAAAGCGAGCAAGCAAGTTGTGGCAGTTACCAACCCGCAGTGGGGTGGACAGGGGACTTTGCCTTGGAAGGCCGTCCACCCCAACACAGGAGACATCAATATTGGAAAGAAATGAGGTATCGGGCAGGTCTTGTTCTCTCAGAACACTTCGGGCTGCACCTGTGTCAACTAGGAAAGTGGTGGGCTGGCCCTCAATGGGTAAAATTACAGTAGCTAGAGGCCCCCCTTGTTCCCCTGAAGACACTGCCATGGCAGGGGCATTAAGCATCAGCGGGTTTGCTCTCCTCAGTATGGGCTGTGTTACTGACTCAAACCCCTTTTGTATGTCATTAGCCATAGCTTTTTGCAGTCTGAACATGTCTATCATTATAAATAATGGTTAATAGTAAGTTAAGTAAAGTTCCTATATGTCTTTGGATAAAACATTAACTATTGCGGTACTATCATTTATATTAATTAGGCTATAACAATTATACCACCCTGTAACTAAAATGAATAACCAGTAGTGGCTGGGTTAATAAACATGTCACAAACCCTTCTAATGCTAAACCATCATTTAAAGTAAAGGATGTTACTGTAAACATAAGATCTGTAACTAGCAAGATTCGATTAAGTAAAGATACAATGTTTAAAATAACTTGCATTATTTGGCTATTTCCCTTGTTGCAAGATTAATCTGGATAATCAGCTGTTATGCTCTTATATTCGTGTCCAACAGATTTCATATGTAGGTCACACCACAGTTGCAAATTACATTTTAGCAACCTTCTTTTTTTTTTATATCACGGACAAATTGCTGATACAGGGAAACAAATGGCATGATTGTTTTAGTAATTATAATGTTTCTGTTCATAATATGTAGAGTGTAAGGAAAACAACATAATAGGGTAGGCCTCATGATGGAGGCAGCCATGACAGGGGCGGGGAAGGAAATGACAGCAAGGGAGGAAGTGAGAGGGGTGACGTCCATGATATGTGTGGGAAAGGAAGACAGGAGGTGTGGGCATGGTAAGGGCGGAAGTGACGTCACTTTAGAAGCAACCGTGACTGTAGATAGGTCTGTACTAGGCGCCATCTTTAGGGTGGTGGCTGACGCACTTTCAACAATACACTATATTATAACTATTAAAATAAGTCAGAGAAGCAACATTCCGTTCTGCAAAATGAAATACTAAACTATGAACAGACCTGGCAGGTTAAATAAGACAGTTGAGAACATTATGCATTTAACAGCCCATACAGCTGTTTCTAGAAACATGTACTTTAAAATAACTTTAAAATAATAAAATGATGCAAAATAAACTCGCGGAATTCAACCAAATTCCCTTATCTTCCTCAAACCATTAATCACTTTCCTCCTCTTATACTGACTTAACAACATCGCATATTCCCTCTACACCTTCCTAAATCCCGTATTCAACACTGAATGCAATCTTGTGAGCTCGTCACTCCCACAATCCTCAGTACCTTATACTCTTATCAGTAGCTTCTGAATAACTCTACAGAACACCGAAGAGACAGACCTAAATCGCAAGCATGTCACCACCCCCCCCGCGCGTCTCACAGAAGCGAGGGGAGGGGGGGGTGTTTTAGCAGAGGGGGATTTGAGTGGAACAAGAGAGAGACTGCCTGCCAGCACGAATTTAACCATGTCAACGCTGTACAGTAACAAGACAGAAGGACAATTACATTACAAAGCAAAAACACAACATTTCATTTAAACCCCCACCCTCTACCAGGGTAATGGCTAACACAAAATACAAAAACCCCACAGCGTTTTAAGATTGGGGTGGGATGGTGACCATGGTCAGCTACATTTCGGTCATTACTGACAGGATGATGGAAGTGGTCACCTCCTGGACAGGGCACTGCTGGGATAACTTCCCAGTAACACAATTATTATGATATACATACAATCTTAAACCTTTGTGATCAATATCTTCCTCAACCTATCCCTTTTGCTGAATAGCTCTTGCTACTCGGTACCAGGCTTCTGCTGTACAAACCAAATCTTGGTCCGACAGCTTCCCTTTCTTCTGTCAGTAACTTACGCCAGCTCTCTGGCTACAATCTGCCGCACAGAGGTACGGTAATTCCACATACTTTAGCAATCTTACTCACTTTCTTAACCATCTCTTCTCCTTCTCTGTCTTCCACTAGATCACATGCTAACCAACCCTTACTGGGTTTATCTAACTTCTGTCCCATCCTCCCTATATAAGGCGTCCCAGATATAGAGAGAGAAAGGAACAGAACGTCTACCGTGCTCGACTGCTACTTTAAGAGCAAGCTCTTTAAGTACGTCTTCCCAAAACGTAGACTAGTCACTGATTCCGCCTACCCGTGGTAGCCGCGGATTGGAGCGTGGCGAGAAGTGTGTGACCAATCACTTCTCTCAACAGAGAAAGAGAAATAGGAGGGGAAAGTGTAAATAGTACAGTGAGTAAGATAGAAGTAAACACAGGAATCTGTGTGACAGACAATTAAGACAATAACATTTCAGTGTAAATACAGTGCATGCATCACAGTTCAAATAAGTTCAACAGTTTTATCCCTTGCCTTTACTCGTGTGGCCAAAGCCACCTCCCTCAACCTCGTAGTGTCCCTGTTGGAGAATGACTTCCACAAGTCTCACTACCAGCAGCCACAGGAAACAGCAACAGCTTCCAACCCGAATCCTGTATAGCCTAAAGAATTGGAATCTTACCTGCCTCAGCGCTTGAGACTGGAATTTTACCAAGAAGAAGTGTCTGATGAGGCTAGCTAAGCGGTCAAAATGACACTCTGGGGATCCCCAGGAAGCAGTGAGTCTACTGCCCTCCACAGATCCCCCCTACTCTTTTTCCTTACAGCCACAGCCACGTGGCTCCTAAAAGAGTTAAACAGGCAATAGAGGACCCCCAGGAAAACTTCCACAGGTCCACCCCCCTTTTTCCTTACTACCACAGGCATGTGGTACCTAAAAGGAGTTAAACAGGCACTTACACTCCCCGGGTACTAAGTTAAACACATACCAATACAAACACACCCAGGCAACAGATAGTCAACATGCAGGTAAACTAGGTATCATTAACAATACAAAGACTCTGGGCAAGTTATTACCTGACTTTGATGTCCTCTCGGCAGCAGTCACAGACACTGGGGCAGGTCAATCACAGGGGTAGGAACATACCGGCTAGGTGCTGCAGCAATCTCTACCGTGTATTCAGAGGTGATCAGGCTCTTTTCCTTCCCCCAGGATTCAGCCCCCCCAGCGTCTTCTTGGACAGCTGCCCAGACTGGACATAGCCCAGAGCCCCACGTTGAGAGCCAATTGTTCTAGATAATTTACTGCAAACCAATTAGTTTGAATGACTATCTGTTCCTGTCCAAATTAAAGATAATAAAGTTGCGTGCACGCAGAAGTAAATTCACACTGAGACACAAGGTTCAGGGTAATGAAAGAACTTCAGAGAAGTTTAATGGCTTCTGAGAGAAAATGGGTGCGCAGACCCTTTTAAAGGCATTATTACATCATTGAAGAAAATCAAGATAACAGCAAATAGACACTATTGATTGGTCCAGGTGTTAAGTGGTTAGTTAGGTACCCTCCTATCAAGAGGTGATGTCATCCTTGACACGGGAGTGGACACAAGATGTAGGCGCCATCTTGTTAGCACGAGGTGTTCACTCGATGGGAGGGGTGCTTTGGCAGCCATCCATTTGGAGCGTAGCTGGCACTTGTTAGTTTCTCAAGGTTAAGTTTCAAGGATTTTAGTAAATACACATTTTATCAAAGCTATTTCTTGCTGACATGCAAATTCTATGTTCTATAGACAAAGCTTCCTTGTAAAACTATGGGGGCCTCTTAGAGGTATAGCAAGAGGATTTAAAGGGGCCTTACAAATTTATAGAGGCCTAATAATTCTACAACAGCACGACACATCGAGAAAAGCAACATCTTTTCAATTATTTCTCTGATCATTTTCTGACCCTGCAATATCATGTTCCTCCAATGAAAGTGTATTTTTCCTCTTCATTTCCTTATGCAGTGCTTTT